CCCAGCTATCAGGAGGCTGAAGTGGGAGGATTACATGAGCCTGGAAGGTGGAGTTTGCAGTGAGCAGAGATCATGCCACTGCACTCCAGCCTGGCTGACAGATCAAGACCCTGTCTCAAAAAATAATAATAACAAATAAAAATAATAAATGCAGAAGGAATTACAGAATTAGAAAAAAAAAATGATCTTTGCCAACTTCTTTTTTTTTTTTTTTTTTTTGAGATGGAATTTCGCTCTTGTTGCCCAGGCTGGAGTGCAATGGCATGATCTCGGCTCACAGCAACCTCTGCCTCCTGGGTTCAAGTAATTCTCCTGCCTTAGCCTCCCAAGTAGCTGGGATTACAGGCATGCACCACCACGTCCGGCTAATTTTGTATTTTTTTAGTAGAGATGGGGTTTCTCGCCAGGCGCAGTGGCTCATGCCTAGGAGCATGAGTAATTCCAGCACTTTGGGAGGCTGAGGCAGGTGGATCACAAGGTCAAGAGATCTAAACCATCCTGGCCAACATGGTGAAACCCCGTCTCTATTAAAAAATAATAAAAATAAAATGTGCGAACAAATAAATACCAAATAAAAAAAAAGAGATGGGAGTTTCTCCATGTTGGTCAGGCTAGTCTCGAACTCCCGACCTCAGGTGATCCACCTACCTCAGTCTTCCAAAGTGCTGAGATTACAGGCATGAGCCACCATGCCCAGCTGCCAACTCCTAATGAAATACTGTAATGGATCAAGTTAACAATCACTAATAATTACTAAGTGATGGGGTTGATGGGGAACTTCATCAAGGATCAAGCTGACATCAGCTGATTCTACCTGCTGATCTTAGCACCAACAAAATACAACAAGATATTATGTGCCTCCCCATGTGACCAAGTAGGAAAAACAGCACCACCTATGATTATTTTTATACCACCTCCCTCCATTCAAAAAACTAAACCTGTTTAGTTTTTAGTTTGAACAGTACTTTTAAAATGCAGGGGACAGAGGAACATGCTAAATGACCCAAGGAGTCAGTCAGTCAGATCCAAAATTAGAAAAATCTGCCTCCTAATGACCAGTTTTATTCAATAAATGGCCTAAAAAAGGTTGTAAATCGGAAAATGTTATCAAGTTTAAAAAGACATATCAACCAGATACAGTGTGTGAACTTTATTTTAATCCTGATTCAAACAAATCAGTCATTTAAAAAAATATAGTCGGGCATGGTGGCTTATGCCTGTAATCCAATCACTTTGGGAGTTCGAGGTGGGTGGATCACCTGAGGTCAGGAGTTCGAGACCAGCCTGATCAACATGGCAAAACCTTGTTACTACGAAAAATACAAAAATTAGCCGGGCATAGTGGCACACGCCTGTCATCCCAGCTACTCAAGAGGCTGAGACAGGAGAATCGCTTGAACCTGGGAGGCGGAGGTTGCAGTGAGCTGAGATCGTGCCACTACACTCCAGCCTGGGTGACAGAGGGAGGCTGTGTCTCAAAAACTAATAGTAATATTAATAATGATGTTGATGAAAAAATCAATTCCCAACAGGGAGCCACTGTCTGTGTGGGGTTTGCATGTTCTCCCCAGGTCTATATGGGTTTTCTCCAGGTAATCTGATTTCTTCACACATCCCAAGGACATGCATGTTAGGTTTACTGGCGTGTCTAAATGGTCCCAGTCTGAATGAGTGTGAATGTGTGTGCCCCGCCATGGAATGGCATCTTGTCCAGGGTTGGCTCCTACCTTGTGCCCTGGGCTGATGGGATAGGCTCTGGCCACTCACGAACCTCAACTGGAATAAGCAGGCAAATAATTACCTTGTTTTTTATTCATGTTTCTTTTTTTTTTTTTTTTTTGAGACAAGAGTACCACGCTCTCACTCAGGCTGGAGTGCAATAGCACAATCTAGGCTCACTGAAATCTCCGCCTCCCAAGTTCAAGTGATTCTCCTGCCTCAGCCTCCCAATTAGCTGGGAGAGGAACGCCACCATGCCCAGCTAATTTTTGTATTTTTTTTTTAGAAGACACAGGGTTTCACTATGTTGGCCAGGCTGGTCTGGAACTCCTGACCTCAGGTGATCCGCCAGCCTCAGTCTCCCAAAGTGCTGAGATTACAGGTGTGAGCAACGGTGCCCTGCCTCATGTTTCTTAAGTGTATATATAGCTAACATTTATTTCAATATTTAATATTAGAAGCGTTTTAGATCTTTATTTAGAATTTTGGTGATGTTTTTGTGGCAAGAAATATGCAATAAGAACTTAGCCCTTGTTTATATCAATTAGCCTATGGAAAAATTGTGGGTTTTTTTGGTTTTTAAAGATGGGGTTTCACCATATTGGTCAGGCTGGTCTCGAACTCCTGACCTCAGGTGATCCGCCCACCTCAGCCTCCCAAAGTGCTGGGATTACAGGTGTGAGTCACTGCGCCCAGCTAAAATTGGTTTTATTATATATTGTTTTGTTTAAAGTTGAAGTTTCCAGGCCAGGCCAACATTGTAAACAGCCTGGCCAACATGGTGAAACCCTGTCTCTACTAAAAATACAATACTTATCCAGACATGGTGGCTCACACGTGTAGTCCCAGCTACTCAGAAAGCTGAGGTGAGAGGATCACTTGAACCTGGAAGGTGGAGGTTGCAGTGAGCCAAGGTCACATCACCGCACTCCAGCCTAGGTGACAGAGCAAGACTTGGTCTCAAAAACAAACAGCCTGGGCGTGGTGGCTCATACCTATAATCCCAGCACTTTGGGAGGCCGAGGCGGGTGGATCACCTGAAGTCAGGAGTTCAACACCAGCCTGACCAACATGGTAAAACCCTGTCTCTATTAAAAAAAAAGAAAAAAAAATTACTATAAAATGCTTTTGTTTTTACCAATGTAAGGCCTTTTACATACATCATCTCCCACCCTTACAACAACCCTGTATGACTGGTTTCAGGACCCCTATGTTTATGCAAGAGGAAATCAAGGCTCACAGAGCTGAAGAGGCCTGCCCAGAGTCACACCGCTGGCAAATGGGGAGCCAAGATTCAAACAGAAGTTTCTCTATTCCCAAAACCTGTTTGCCTGTGCAGTATAAGAATACAGACCTGGGTCTCCAGCCCCAAGATGCCTGCCCACCCAAAACAAACCCTGCCAGACTGTCCCTGAGAGCCTCAGGAGAAAGAAAACCTAAAAGATGGCAAGGAGCAAAGTCCCCTTGGGCTGGAAGGCTCTGGAGTAGCTGATCATCGTTGTTTTGTAGAACTGCCCACAGCCATCACTTCCACCTGAGGTTAGCCTTGTGAGATGGCAGGTACCACTGTCCCCCTCTGCCCGAGTCCAAGTCACATCCACTGGATAAAAACCCAGGTCTCGGCCAGGCATGGTGCCTCATGCCTGTAGTCCCAGTGCTTTGAAAGGCCAAGGCAGGCGGATCACCTGAGATCAGGAATTCGAGACCACCCTGACCATCATGGAGAAACCCCATCTCTACTAAAAATACAAAATGAGCTGGATGTGGTGGCGCATGCTGTAATCCCAGCTACTCAGGAGGCTGAAGCAGGAGAATCACTTGAACCCAGGAGGTAGAGGTTGCAGTGAGCTGAGATTGTGCCATTGCACTCCAGCCTGGGCAACTAGAGTGAAACTCCGTCTCAAAAAAAAAAAAACAACCCCAGGTCTCCCAGCAGCCATCTGGTCTTCATTCCAAAATCCAGACAGGTTCTCCTATGAGCTTGTAGCCACAGATCCCAAAATAAATACTGGTGTGCATCTCATTTTATTCAGGAAAGGTCTGGAGTGGCTTGGGCCACACCCCCCTTCAGAACTGGCACTAAGTGGGAGGCAGGGCAGCATGTAGCTAAAGGCACACGTTTGGAAGGCTCAAATTCCAGGTCTGCCACTTTCTGGCTGTAGGCCTATTACCAAGTGCCTTGTAAAATAAGCTGGCGTAGGTTTCCTTGGCTATTATCCAATTCCATCCGTCTTAATTTGGTCCCTTCACCAAATGAGAATATATGGCTGGAAGCCATCTGTAGGGGACCAGACACCATCATCAATAACAGAGCCAGGAGGGCTCGATTCTATGGGGCCAGCAGCCACACTGCAGGCCCCAGCTGATCTCAGATAAACATATCCATTTTCTCCTTAGAGAAGAGCTATGTTTTTTTTTGCCTGGGGAGAATGGCACCTGTACTTTGCAAACCAGTGGGAGAGAGAAATGGCAGTGGGCTGGAGCTGCTATCCCCACCATCCCAGGTTCTACGTGAGTCTGTGTTTATTATACACTGAGTATATACAATAGAATATGGTAAAACATGTGTAAGGTGCAAGAATAACAATACAAGACAGCCATGGGCTCACTAACCAGTTTAAGGAATAAATGCCCCATTCTCAGTGGTTCATGCCTGTAATCCTAGCACTTTAGGACGCCGAGGCAGGAGGATCACCTGAGGTCAGGAGTTCCAGACCAGCCTGGCCAACATGGTGAAACCCCCGTCTCTACTAAAAATACAAAAATTAGCCGTGTGTGAGGGCAGGCACTTGTAATCCCAGCTACTCGGGAGGCTGAAGCAGGAGAATCACTTGAACCTGGGAGGCAGAGGTTGCACTGAGCCAAGATCATGTCATCGCACTCCAGCCTGGGCAACAAGAGCAAAACTCTGTCTCAAAAAATAAAAAATCCTTTAATTAAATTAAATTATTTTTTGAGACACAGTCATGCTCTGTCGCCCAGGCTGGAGTGTAGTGGCGTGATCTGGGCTCACTGCAACCTCCGCCTCCTGGGTTCAAGCAATTCTCCTGCCTCGCTCTCCTGAGTAGCTGAGACTACAGGCACCTGCCACCATGCCCTGGTAATTATTATTATTATTATTATTTTGTATTTTTAGTAGAGACAGGGTTTCACTGTATTGGCCAGATGGTCTCAATCTCCTGACCTTGTGATCCGCCCACCTTGGCCTCCCAAAGTGCTGAGATAACAGGCCTGAGCCACCGCGCCTGACGTATTTATTTTATTTTGAGATGGAGTCTTGCTCTGTTGCCCAGGCTGGAGTGCAATGGCTCAATCTTGGTTCACTGCAGGCTCCATCTCCCACATTCAAGCAATTCTTATGCCTCAGCCTCCTGAGCACCTGAGACTACAGGCATGTGCCATCACACCCAGCTAATTAAAATCCTCCATTTTAGTTACCACTTCTCCCTGTCCCACCCTCCACCATAACCTGTTGACTTTGAACCCAAAGATTCCCTATCTTCTTTCAAGCCACTGGCTCCCAACTTCTCTAAAAAAGTCCACTATTAGATGTTCTGAGCTGCTGCCTCCACCCACTTCATCCATCACACCAGCTCTCACCCCCTCTCCATATTCCAAGCACCTATTTTGTTTTTTGTTTTGAGATGGAGTCTCACTCTGTCACCCAGACTGGAGTGCAGTGGCATGATCTCGGCTCACTGCAACATGTGTCTCCCAGGTTCAAGCAATTCTCCTGCCTCAGCCTCCAGAGTAGCTGGGAATGCAGGTGCAAGCCCCCATTCCTAGCTAGTTTTTGTATTTTTGGTAAAGACAGGGTTCTACCCACATTGTCCAGGCTGGTCTTGAACTCCTGACCTCAAGTGATCCACCTGCCTCAGCCTCCCAAAATGCTGGGATTACAGGTGTGAGCCACTGCATCTGGCCCAAGCTCTTGTTGAAACCTCTCATCCATCAGTGATTCATCCTCATCTAAAATGGAAACATCCCAACACAGAACTCCAGGCTTTCGATACTGTTTTCTTTTTCTCCAAAGCATTTGTCACTTTTTTTTTTTTTTTTGATTTTTTGAAATGGAATCTTGCTCTGTTGCCCAGGCTAGAATGCAGTGGTGCAATCTCGGCTCACTGCAACCTCCACCTCCCAGGTTCAAGTGATTTTCCTGCCTCAGCCTCCAGAGTAGCTAGGACTATAGGTTCACACCACTACACCTGGCTCATTTTTGTATTTTAAGTAGCAATGGGGTTTCACCATGTTGAACTGGCTGGTCTCCAACTCCTGACCTCAGGTGATCCACCCACCTTGGCCTCCCAAAGTGCCGGTATTATAAGCGTGAGCCACTGCACCCCGCCCTAAAGCATTTTCACCTTCTAAATGATTTCTTTGGTTTATTTGTCTTCTGTTATTAAAATGTAAGTTTCAGGACAGCACGAATTTTTGTCAGATTTCTTTCATTGCTATATCATCAGGGCCTAGAAGAAGACTTGACATGTGACAGGAACTCAATCAGTATTTGTTGAATAAAGTCTTTGTTCTAGTTCTCCTTGCAGTTGAGTGGTTACTGCTTTTTAAATTTCTATACTTTTGTTTCATCAGGGTCTCAGGAATAATGGGAGGAAAATAGGTGGATCACTTGCTGGTCAAACATCCTGAGCTCAAAGTCTCAAAGTCAGTGGTCTGAAATGTGTGGGAAGATTATGGACCATTTAAGACTATTATGAAACCTACAGAATATATAAATAGGCATACATACTAAAGTTTTGCATATAGGCTGCGGGAGGAGGCTGAGGTGGGCACATCACTTGACATCAGGAGTTTGAGAGTGGCCTGGCCAATATGGTGAAACCCTGTCTCTACTTAAAATACAAAAATTAGCTGGGCATGGTGGTGGGTGCCTGCAATCACAGCTATTCAGGAGGCTGAGGCAGGAGAATCGCTTGAACCCGGGAGGCGGAGGTTGCAGTGAGCCAAGATTGCTCCACTGCACTCCAGCCTGCTGACAGAGCAAGACTCCATCTCAAAAACAAACAAAATAAAATAAAATAAAATAATTAGGTTGCCGGGCACAGTGGCTCACACCTATAATCCCAGCACTTTGGGAGGCTGAGGTGGGTGGATTGCCTGAGGTCAAGAGTTCGAGATCAACCTGACCAACATGGAGAAACCCCATCTCTACTAAAAATACAAACTTAGCTGGGCATGGTGGCGTATGCCTGTAAAGTGGTGCAGTCTCGGCTCACTGCACCCCTGCCTTCCATGTTTAAGTGATTCTCCTGACTCAGCCTCCCTGGTAGCTGGGATTACCGGCATGCACCACCATACCCAGCTAATTTTTGCATTTATGGTAGAGATTAGGTTTCACCACATTGGCCAGGCTGGTCTTGACCTCCTGACCTCAAGCGATCCTCCTGCCTCAGCCTCCCAAAATGCTGAGATTATAGGCATGAGCCACCTTGCCCAGCCTAGAACGCAAGACTTTGTATGGAAGAAAATAAGAATCCATTCATGGATTCCTTAGATAATGTGCTTTCAGAAAAAAAGACCCAAGAGACATGGAGTCTTTTTTTTTTTTTTTTTTTTTGAGACGGAGTTTCGCTCTTGTTACCCAGGCCGGAGTGCAATGGCACGATCTCGGCTCACCGCAACCTCTGCCTCCTGGGTTCAGGCAATTCTCCTGCCTCGGCCTCCTGAGTAGCTGGGATTACAGGCACACACCACCATGCCCAGCTAATTTTTTGTATTTTTAGTAGAGACGGGGTTTCACCATGTTGACCAGGATGGTCTTGATCTCTTGACCTCGTGATCCACCCGCCTCGGCCTCCCAAAGTGCTGGGATTACAGGCTTGAGCCACCGTGCCCGGCCTGGAGTCTTTCTCTATGGCTTCCTTACCCCAGGAACAGGTGTGACACCTTGGGTAAGTCAGTAACCCCGAGTATCAATTGCCTTTTCTGTAAAATGGGGCCTGCCTTAGAGCACCTTGAAGACTTCCTATCACCTCTATGATCCCCCAGGATATAGGGAGAATGAAATGAACATGGGTCAAGCCACTAACACCCTCTAATGCAAAAGCTTGTGGCTACTTTACCTCCATCTCATAGATTCAGATTTGTTGTGCAATGAGGTTGTCACGAAAAACCACCTGAGACAAATGGCTCTTGGGTAAAAATTTTTTCACTGCTGCTTCACTGGGATTCATTAAGCTGGTGCAGGGAGGGAAAGATGGTACAGGTTACAGATGGCTGAGGCCAGGGCCAGAACAGATTTGATGGGGTCCTGGGGTAGTAGCTGAGGCTTCCCAGGTCTCTTCGGACAACTGCAGCTGTCACAATTTTCAGAGGAGCAAGGAAGTAACCACAGTTTCTTCTTGTGAAAAGGTATGCTAAAGGGGTGTTTCATGGACACCCAGAAGAAAAGCCATTCTGTGGATGTAAAAGTCCCAGTGCAGTCCACAAGAGAAGGGTTATCAGGAACCCAGAACTATCCTCAGAAGCAGTCATCTCGTTTTTTTGGGGATGGAGTTTCACTCTGTCTCCCAGGCTGCAGTGCAGTAGCACAATCTTTGATTCAATGCAACCTCCACCTCCTGATTCAAGCAATTCTCCTGCCTCAGCCTCCCAAGTAGCTGGGATTACAGGTGTGCACCACCACACCAGCTAATTTTTTTTTATTTTTAGTAGAGACAGGGTTTCACCATGTTGGCCAGGCTACTTATGAACTCCTGACCTTAAGGGATATGCCCACCTCAGCCTCCCAAAGTGCTGGGATTACATGTGTGAGAGCCACTGTGCCCACCCAGCCAAAAGCAGTCATTCTGATGATCCTTAAGGATGAAATGGGAGAGAGGGGTCTTAAGGAGAGGCGTAAAAGTTGTAGGGTAGGGTTCGGAGGGTAAATCTGAGAGGTGTCTAGCTTGGGGGGCACTTGATCTAGAGCCTATGCCTAAAGGGGATCTGGGAGGTGAGGAATTGGAGTATAGATCACAGGAGGGAGAAATGAAAATAGTTTGGAAAGACGTTAGGCTGGCTAATAGGGGAATTCTGGAAGACGGTCTGGGGAAAGTTTAGAAAAGTGGGGGAGGTGTAGGGTGGACAGGGGTTTAGGAGACTCTGAAAGGTGAGAGGGGAAAGATGGGGTGGGGTGGAGTAGAATGATGCCAGGTACTCCAGGTGAAAATACAACACTTTGGTCAAAATGAGGAAAAGTAGATATACTTCTAGGAACTGAGTTTTCACTTTTTGATAATTTGGTTACATCATGAAGTAGTCTTATAAACATATACCTTTAAATGGTTTTACTCATTTAAAAATAATTGTTAAGGCCAGGCATGGTGGCTCACACCTGTAATCCCAGCGCTTTGGGAGGCCGAGGCAGGCGGATCACCTGAGGTCGGGAGTTCAAGACTAGCCTGACCAACATGGAGAAACACCGTCTCTACTAAAAATACAAAATTAGCCGGGCATATTGGTGCATACCTGTAATCTCAGCTACTCGGGAGGCTGTGCCAGGACAATCACTTGAATCCAGGAGGTGGAGGTTGCAGTGAGCCGAGATCTCGCCACTTTACTCCATCCTGAGCAACAAGAGTGCAACTCTGTCTCAAAAAATAAATAAATAAAATAAAAAAATAATTGTTCAGGGTAAATAATTGTTCAGGGTCAGTTGCAGGGCTCACGCCTGTAATCCCTGTGAACCCTGTCTCTACTAAAAATACAAAAATTAGCTGGGTGGTAGTACTGAGCACCTGTAGTCCCAGCTACTCAGGAGGCTGAGGCAGGAGAATCGCTGGAACCCAAGAGGCAGAGGTTGCAGTGAGCCAAGATTGTGCCACTGCACTCCACCGTGGGCGACAGAGCTAGATTCTGTCTCCAAAGAAAAAAAAATTGCTCATATTTTCTTTCTAAAATACAGGAACAAAATGTACAATATGGAAGCAATTGAATATATTTTGGTATGATGGTAGAGATGAGATTTCACCCAGTTGCCCAGGCTAGTCTCGAATGCCTTAGCTCAGGTGATCCAACCCCCTCAGCCTCCCAAAGTGAAGTGGTGTGATTATAGGCATGAGCCACCATGCCGGGTCTTATTTTTCTACAAGCGTACACTACTTTTATAATTAGGACAAAAAAGGTCTTATTTTTCTACAAGCGTACACTACTTTTATAATTAGGACAAAAAAGACAACTGTAGAAGGATAAAACATGTTGAAGGACTAGTTTTTCTAATTCATTTTCAGCCAATTTGGAACTGGAGTGTTGTGAACACTTTCATATTTACAAACTAGTATGAACAATCCAACTTCCCAATCTCTCATTTACATATTTCTGACCTCTATGCATAGCCTGGGTGATGGAAAACGCTAGTTTAGAGATCAAGATGCTCGAACACAAAAGTCCCCAAAATCCTGGGTGTTGTTTTAAAAAAAAAAAATCCCTAAAACATTTAAAGACACATAAAACTCTTCACCCACTAAGTGATGCACCAAATTTACCAATACTAGAAGGGGAGGAGGTTGGCAACGACTGAAAATATCCCCTTTCAAGTAATAAATAACGGTCATTTTGAACCAAGTTGCTTTCCACCTCAAGTCCTCCATGGATGGGAACCTGGAAGATGCCGTGAGAGCGGTTGTGGAATGGAAAGGAGCATGGGTAATTGGGGTTTGCGAGGATCGGGGCCAGGCAGAGGAACTGGGGGCTTTTCCAAGGCCGTTGAGGAACATAGAGGCTGAGACGGGGCGTGTGGGACAGCTTCGAGCTTGGGAGGACCTGGGCCTCGCCAGCCTCTAAGGAGAGTCAGGGCTGGGATCACACGAAGTCATGCCTGGGAAACTGAAGGGCTGGGACCGATTCTGAAAAAATGTGGACTGGAGATGGGGAGTCAAGATTCTTCAGAGAGTCCGGGGTGAGGAGCTAGACTGGGAAGGAGCTGTGCCCGGGGCTACGAGAAATCCAGACTCCCGGCGTGAAAAAGGGCCGGAGTCAGGCTGAGGAAGCGCGAGTTTGAAAGAGTTCGGGCTCCCTCGCGGGACCGAAGTCTAACGAACGGTCCGGGCACCCGGGCCACACCTGAAGAGCACAGGCGACTGCGCGATCCGCGACGCGGGAAGCAGATCTGCGGCTGAACCCCTACGCCGATTACTCAGCAGCGGCCCGATTACTTGGCAGCTGCGGAGCCTATGGCGCTGGTGTTTCGAGCCCAAAGTGGCGCCGGTCTCTGTCACAGAGGATCCCAGGTCCCCTGTGACAGAGGGCCTAGTAGGCTGTGTCATAGCGGCTTCCCTCTTCGAGAAACAGTTGGAAATTGCAGGCCGGTTGACAGCCGTGCTCGTTTGGCGCCCGCGGACCCCAGTGAGTCCCTGGGCGGAGCCTGGAGCCGAGCTCGGCGCGTTGCGGGGAAGCCGCATCAGGGGGCGGGGTCGGGAAGGAGGCGGGTGTGCTGGACATGCGCACAGAGTCCGGGCGGCTACGGAAGCGATAAAATAGTCCCTCGGCCGCCGCCCTGGTGCAACCCGATGCGTTGCCGTGGAGACGGGCATGGCTGGATGGAGTGGGGTGCGTTGAGATGAACTGACCCTGCTGCGCCACGGGGACTGCAGTGGACCTGGCTTGCTGGCAAGGCGGGTAACCAGTTGAGCCAGGGTGGGGCTGCTCAGGAGCGTGGAGCCGAGGCCAGGATTTCGCTGAAGACCCGGCACAGGTGTTTCCTTTCTGCGACAAGACACCATTGCTATGGAAACTAAAGCGCTAGGCCAGCCGGGATTGAGGCTTCGGGATCCTGACTGGTCACCCTCCCGAAGACCCTTGCCCAAGGCTTCCCGGAGCGGCTACTTCCTGAACGAACCCGCGCATCCTCCCGAGGGAAAAAGGTAAGACCGCTGGAGTCTTAACACCGAGCAGCCGAAGAAGCCTATTCCAACGCCAGCTCCCCCAGGAAACTTACCTGGCCCGCCCCTAGAAGTGGTGCCTCGCTCTCGTTAACTCGTTAACTCTTGGACTTTGTTCCACGTTTATAACCTAGTATTTCACCAACACCCCGTGGTGTTTGTCCACTTTTCCCCACAAATAATGGACCATAAAGACTGGCTTGCTTGGCGTCTGACTCTGAACAAGTCCTTTCCCCCGCTGTATCTCACTTCCTCTTATGTAAAACGGAAATATTAACTCTAGACGCTGGTCTGATTAGGTTGCTTTGAAGATCGAACCAGATGAGGGAAGCCAAAGACTTCCTAGGCTGTAAAGCGGTGAAACTGAGTTGCTATTTTTTTTCTCCGCCTCCATCTCCCTCAAGCTAAATGTTCTTTAGATCTCTTGTGTTTTCTTCAGGCGGTCTTTGCGATTCCCTAGACTCCGACCTGGAAGAAATCAGAAATCTCTTTACACTTAACTTCCACAGAGCCCTGCATTTTAACTTCCCTATCAGAAGCAAGAAAAAATAGTTACCGTTTTTAGAGGGCTTACACTTTGCCAAGCCCTGATAACACTCTTTACCTGGATTATCTCATTTAATTTCACAACATCCTTTTTTAAGGTAGGCACTGTTACCCTATTTTCAAGCTCTGTCTGCCTGTAATTGCCTGTTTACCGTTTCCCCCACTAGACTTTGAGCTCTGTGAGAAAAGTAGCCATGCCTGTCTTGTATAGTTCAGTTACATTTCAGTATGTCCAACACCTAATACAGTGCCTGATGTATCTTTCTTTCTTTCTAAGATGGAGTCTCTGTCACCCAGGCTGTGGTACTACAGTGGCTCGATCTGGGTTCACTACAACCTCCACCTCCCAGCTTCAAGCAATTCTGTCTCAGCCTCCTGAGTAGCTGGGACTACAGGCCCATGCCACCACACCTGGCTAATTTTTGTATTTTTAGTAGAGATGCAGTTTCACCATATTGGTCAGACTGGTCTTGAACGCCTGACCTCAGGTGATCTGCCCCCCTCAGCCTCCCAAAGTGCTGAGATTACACATGTGAACCACCAGGCCTGTAGATGTGTCTTAACTAGCATGAAAATGACAGATTCTCCTCCCATCACTACCCTTACCGGCAAGAGCATTGTTACTTCTGCAAACTTTTAGTTGCTCTGATGAACAGCACATTCCTCTATTTCTGTTACCCACTAGGCATTGGTTTGGGGGGAACTCAGTTCACTTCTCTCTGGATTTTTTGATGCTGAGGATCCAGAACATTCCTTAGCATTTAGGCTTCCATCTGGGTTCAGGAGGCTTTTTCCTTGCCCTTCATATCACCTCTATAACAAGCCACCCGATCTGCCCTTCCTGGGGTGAGCCTGATGCATTTGAGTCTAGGGCACTGGCAGGTAGGATTTGCCTATACAACCTTCAGTCTTTCTCTTTAGTAGCCTCAGAAGCACCCCCACTCCCACCCAGCGTCTTGCTGGAATTCTAGAGAAACATGGCCAAGAACTCATTCTTTCCAGAAAACCTCTCAAAGGCAGAGTCATAGCTGTTGGAGTCATTTTTTCATTCAGCAAATATCTATCAAGTACCTACTTGTGGGGACACAGAGCTTGGCACTAGTCACTGACAGAGGGGGAGTGAAGATAGACACTGTCATATCCCTAAAGGGCTCACAGTCTCTTCGGGAGACAGACATTAATTAAATAATCAGATCAGGGCAAAACCACACCTTGAGTAAGTGTTAGGAAGGAGAGAACATAGGGCTAAGAAAGCCTGGGGCAGAGAGTTGATCAAACATGAGGAAGGGTGTGATCTAAGATTTCCCTTAAAACAGTTACCTTTGAGTTGATATCTTAAGGCTCCTCAGACCTCTGCAGTCCTCTGCTGAATGGGCCAGATCAGGATCAGATAGGTTCATAAGGAAAGGGGCTGAGAGATCAGCAGAGGCAAAGACCACTGACTGGAGAGGACAGGCTGTCCCTAAAGAACTGTTTGTGGCTCAGTCCACCTGAGGCCCTTCAGAGCATGCTGAAGCCTAATAAGAGGCTGGAGAGACAGGCAGGAGCCAGGTCAAAAATGGCCTTGACAGCCAAACTAACTGGCTCCATCTTATCCTGACGATGGATAGCCACTGAACTATATTAAGCAGGGAAACAGAACTTCGGCTCCTCATTTCTCCTGCCTGGTGAAGACTGCCATTTGGCCCTGAAAGGTGTGATCTAAATCCAAATGCCCCTATTTCAGTAGGACGTATAAAGATGTCCTGGTTTTTGCAGCTTTGTTTAAGACTAGGGGCCGGGCACAGTGGCTCTCGTCTATAATCCCAGCACTTTGGGAGACAGAGGTGGGTGGGTCATTTGAGGTCAGGAGTTTGAGACCAGCTTGACCTACTTAGTGAAACCTAGTCTCTACTAAAATACAAAAATTAGCCAGGCGTGGTGATGGGCACCTGTAATCCCAGCTACTCGGGAGACTGAAGCAGGAGAACCACTTGAACCCAGGAGGTGGAGATTGCAGTAAGCTGAGATTGCACCTCTGCCTCTCCAGCCTGGGTGACAGAGCTCTAAGACTCCCTCTCAACAACAACAACAAAAAAAGTCTGCCTCTCACTGGGGTGCATTCCACTGCTCTGCTGCAGGCACCATGGTGCAGGTGTGGCAGGTCTTCTGGAGGCCCTGCTGCCTCTCTGTGCTTGCCCCTGGGGTTGTGGTGTGCATTATGCTGGCCTCCAGGAAGCTTTCAGCCACTCCCTTTCACAGGCCCTCTTCAGAGGCAAGATGCAGGAGCATGTCTAATAATTTAGGACTTTGTATTTGACATCAGCTTCACATAGGCATATTCTGTCTCTTCAAAGAGATGGTTCTTAGAGGGGGAAAATGGGACCCTCCCTACTCTTATACCACCCCCTCAGTGACTGCCAGCACAATGGGCTCTGGTTCCATGCCACTGGCCCAGGGCCTTATGATTTGGGCATAAAGTCAGAAGACTGAGGAGGAAGGTTGTGTAAGTGGTTCCCACTCAGAGGGCCAAGAAGAGGGCTTTGTGAGCTTAAATGGAGAGGCAGCCCAGGGCACAGCTGAGGGACACAAATCATCTGCCCAACTGGAACTGTGGGGCCCCTCAAGGGAGGCCTCACATGCCAGACTTTGGGTCTTGCCCTTTGTCCTACAGGGCAGTGCACATTGGACCACCTGAGAAGCAGGCTGACAATGCAGATTCATGCTCTTCACCCCAAGAGTCTGACTCCATGGGTTTGAGAGGGACCTGGGTATCTGTACTTTTAATGAGTTTGCAGGGTAATTCTGCTGACATGGTCAGAGGACTACCTTGGGGAATGCTGTAGGTCTATCCACTTCCCAGGGATTCCTTGGAGTTGGCCCTCTGGGCACCTGCCCTCTAAACATCCTCTCCCTCCCTGCAGTTTTCCGTGGACACAGCCTAGCAGAAAGACGCAGCCTTTATGCTTTGCTGATTGCTGACCTACCGCCTTGATGACAGCACCCTTGTGTGCCTTCCCGGTTCAGTTCCCGAAGCCCTCAGTCAGCGGCCTCTCACAGATAACCAAAAGCCTGTATATCAGCAATGGCGCAGCCGCCAATAACAAGCTCATGCTGTCTAGCAATCAGATCACCATGGTCATCAATGTCTCAGTGGAGGTAGTGAACACCTTATATGAGGATATCCAGTACATGCAGGTACCTGTGGCTGACGCCCCTAACTCACCTCTCTGCGACTTCTTTGACCCTATTGCTGACCACATCCACAGTGTGGAGATGAAGCAGGGCCGTACTCTGCTGCACTGTGCGGCCGGTGTGAGCCGCTCAGCCGCCCTGTGCCTCGCCTACCTCATGAAGTACCATGCCATGTCCCTGCTGGACGCCCACACATGGACCAAGTCATGCCGGCCCATCATCCGACCCAACAGTGGCTTTTGGGAGCAGCTCATCCACTATGAGTTTCAGTTGTTTGGCAAGAACACTGTGCACATGGTCAGTTCCCCAATGGGAATGATTCCTGACATCTATGAGAAGGAAGTCCGTTTGATGATCCCACTGTGAGCCATCCCGCCAGCCGCAGCATTGGGGTCAGAGGTACAGATCTGCTGCTGATCCTACACCAAGATCCAAACTTGAACGTTCTACTTTTGTTGATATAGAAAAAAACAGATGATGCCTTTTATGAGCACCAGAAAATAGTTGCAGTAGCTTTTAACTTTATAATCCATTTTTTAAAAGATTAAACTCACCAATTTTGAGATGGTGAAAATAAATTTTCTGCCCTGTGAGTGTCAGGCCTCCACTGGCCAGTACATAGATTGAGGCAGATGGTGCCTAGAACAGAGGCCAGCACCCAGTGCACATGGCAGGCCTGGAATCCTGCAGCCCTCCCCAAAACTGAGTGACCCAGGAATGAATCTGCTACAATTCCACCTCATTCTTTCACACCCAGAGCCAGAGCCTTAAGCATCATGGGTCCTCTTGCGCTTCTCACAGTAAGGGCCAATCTACTAGATAAATTGCCTTCAAGCAGTAATCCAGGCATCCTGGGGGGTCCCAGGCCACTTCTGCTTCCACCTTCACTACAAGTGGCCCAATTCCGGTTTTCTAGATTGGACTTATACATAAAGTAGTTTTCAAAGAAAGCATTCCACTGTATAAATTTTTTTTTCTTTTTTTGAGACGGTCTTGCCAGAGTGCAGAAGCATGATCATGGCTCGTTGCAGCCACAACCTCTCAGGCTCAAGCGATTCTCTCACCTTAGCCTCCTGAGCGGCTGGGACTACAGATGTGCACCATGCCCACCTCAATTTTTTTTTTTTTAAGAGATGAGGTTTTACTACATTTCCCAGCCTGGTGTCAAACTCCTGGCCTCAATCCTCCCACCTCAGCCTCCCAAAAGTGTTGGGATTATAGGCGTGAGCCCCTGCATCCGAGTACCACTTTATAAAAATTTTTTTTAAAAAAAGTTTTTTGTGAGTGCTATTGTACATGGCTAGGTTTCAAAGAGCCCTTGGCCATCCCTCACCAACCTTTGATGAAAGGTGGTGTTAGTCCCCTTCTCCAGGCCACATTAGAAAAATAGGCCTGACATCAGGCCTCGGGGTTTCTCTCACAGGCCTTGGCTTGGAAGGCTGGAGCTTCAGACCAAGGCGCAGCCCTGAAACCTCCTCTTCATGTGACCTGGAGCCCTGGGAGCAACACTGTCCTCATCTGTCCAATGACAGCCCTTTTCTCACAGAGTTGTTGTGAAGATTCAACAATTTCTTGGCATAGTGCCTGGCACGTGGTATGTGCTTAGCTCAAACGGCCGCTCTCATCATGAATGAGACTGTTTCACCCTGCTGGCCCCTGGTTGGCACCCTCATCCTCAAATGCCATTTCTTCTATCTGTGCACAGCCCTTTATTGTTTATAAAGTACTCTTCCAAAAAGTTACCCTATGTGTTAAAAAAAAGGTTTAAGTCCTTTCAGACCCTACCTCAGAGAAGGCCTAGACTTAGAGCCTTTTGGGAGCGTCCATCTTGTTTAATCCAGGTGCAACCAAAGGGTCCTGAAGCAAGAAGCACGATCCCAGCTTCCCCCAATCACTTCTAAACAGTGATTCCAGCCTTGTTTAGAATCACTATGAAAACCTGCACCCCAGCTGACTGCTGGGATCCATAAGGGGGCAGTGTCAAAGGGACTAACAAGTGGACTCCATCAGCAGGCACTGGAATTCAGGACTGCTCACACCCCCTCAGTGCCGAGGACCGAGCTCAAGACCAGCTCTTCTGATCCAGAGGTTTTCGGCAAACAGCATTTGAAACAAACAAAAGCTTGGCTGCTCTGTTTGCCACCAAACTGTGGCTCCAGATTCCAGTGGAAGCCAAGTGCTTTTTCTTTTACAGCTGGGCGCCTGTAATCCCAGCTACTCAGGCAGGAGAATCGCTTGAATCTGGGAGGCGGGGGATATAGTAAGCCAAGATTGTGCCATTGTGCTCCAGCCCGGGCGACAAGAGTGAGACTCCATCTCAAAAAGTAAAGAAGAAATGCTTGGGACCAGAAATATTTTGGATTTTTTTCAGATTAATATTTGTTTTACCTGAAGCAAATATTATTTGAGCGTCCCAACTCCGAAATCCAAAATGCTTAAATGAGTATTTCCTTTTAGAGTCATTTCAGCTCTCAAAAAATTTTGGATTTTGAGCATTTCAGATTTTTGGATTTGAGATCCATGGGTGGATCTCATATATTTCACTTGAGGGGGCTGTTGTAGATTTTTTTTTTCAATTGCTCATTGTTAGTGTATAGAAATACAATTGAGGCTGGGCGTGGTGGCTCATGCCTGTAATCCCAGCACTTTGGGAGGCCGAGGTGGCCAGATCACTTGACTTCAGGTATTTGAGCCCAGCCTGGCCAACAAGGAAAAAGCCTCATCTCTGCTAAAAACACAAAAGTTAGCAATGCATGGTGGTGGACACCTGATATCCAAGCTACTGAGATTAGAGGCTGAGACAGAATTGCTTGAACCCAGGAGAGCCAAGATCACAACACTGCGTTCCAGCCTGGGCAACAAAGCAAGACTCCACCTCAAAAAAAAAAAAAAAAAAAAAAAAAGGTTCTACGCCTTCTGTCCCCCATGGTTTCTACTCAGAAATCCACAGGCATTAACTGTTGTTTCCCAATAGGTAATGCCTCATTTTTTCCCCAGCTGCTTTTAAAGATTTTCTCCTTGTCTTTGGTTCCCATCAGTTTGATTATGATGTATATGTGCATGGATTTCTTTGGGTTATCCTTATCAGAGTTCACAGAGCCTCTTGATTGTCTTTCAAAAATCTGGGAAGTTCTCAGCTATGATTTCTTCAAATATTGTTTTCTGCACCATACTGTCCTGTATTTCTGTGTCTTCGATAACATGAACATTAGACCTTTTGATATTATCTGTGAATTTCTGAGTCTTCATTTAAAAAAAAAAAATTCTCTGGCTGGATGTGGTGGCACATACCTATAGTCCCAGCTATTTGTTGGGGCTGAGGTGGGAGTATCACTTGAGCCCAGGAGGTCAAGACTGCAGTGAGCCGAGATCGCACCACTGCACTTCAGCCTGGGTGACAAAGTGAGACCCTGTCTCAAAAAACCCACAAAAATTTTCTTTTTCTCTCTGCTGCTCATGTTGGGTAATGTATTAGTTTAGACTTGGTGCTGTAACAAATTACCACAAATTCTATGCTTAAAATTGCAGAAGATCTGGGAAAAAAAAAAATACCACAAACTTAGTGGCTCAAAACTACATCCATATATTTTTTCACAATTTCTGTAGGCCAGGAGTCTGATTGGACTTGACTAGGTCCTTTGCTTAGAGTCTCACAAGGTCAAAATCACATTTCATAAGGCCAAAACCAAATGTTTTTTTCCCTGGAGGCTCTGAGGAAGAATCTGCTTCATGTTCATTTTGGTTCTTGGCTGAATTTAGTTCATTGCAGTTGCAGGGTAGAGGACCCTGTTTTCTTAGCTGTCAGCTGGGGGCCGGCCTTTGCTCCATAGAAGCTGCCCACATTCTGGTGCTTTCTATGTGTCCCCCTCCAGAAATAGCAGGTTGAATTCTTCTTACACTTTAAATATCTCTTAACTTTTCCTTCTGCTACATCTAAGTCCAGCCAGAGAGAATCACTCTGCTTTAAAAAGACTCATGTGATTAGAATAAGCCCACCTAATAGTCCAGAATAATCCCAATTTTAAAATCAGTTACATCTGCAGTCTCCTTTGTCATATAAAGTAACATTCACATTTTCCAGGGAATAGATCAGAAACATCATTTCCAAATCTTGATTCTTATATTTTCTTAGTTCTAAAATTATTATTTAGCCTGTAATCACAGCACTTTGAGAGGCTGAGGTCAGGAGTTCAAGACCAGCCTGGCCAACATGGAGAAACCCTGTCTCTATTCTACTAAACATACAGAAGTTAGCTGGGCGTGGTGGCATGTGCTTATTAGTCCCAGCTACTCCAGAGGGTGAGGCAGAAGAATTGCTTGAACCCAGGAGGTAAAGGTTGTGCCACTGTACTCCAGCCTGGGTGACAAGAGCAAAACTCCATCTCAAACATTAAAAAAAATTCTTATTTAAAAAATAATAATAAATAAAATTTCTGTTTGATTGTTTTCTTTGTCCTCTATTTCTCTGTTAAGACTTTCCGTCTTCCATTTTTAAAGTCTTTTTCTGAGCCGGACATGGTGACTCACACCTGTAATCCCAGTACTTTGGGAGGCTGAGGCAGGCAGATCACCTGAGATCAGGTGTTTCAGACCAGCCTGGCCAACATGGTGAAACTGTGTCTCTACTTATAATACAAAAAATTAGCTGGACATGGTGGTGGGCACCTGTAATCACAGCTACCCGGGAGGCTGAGGCTGGAGAATCGCTTGAACCTGGGAGGTGGAGGTTGCAGTGAGTGAAGATCGTGCTATTGCACTCCAGCCTGAGCAACAAAAGTGAAATTCCGTCTCAAAAATAAAGGTATTGTCTGATAATTCCAACATCTGGGACATCTCAGGATACAGACTTTCCTGGTTCTTTGTGTATAATTTTGATTGTATCCCAGGCATTTTGAATAGGTCTTGTTTAAATCCCACAGAAAGTGCTGGGTTTTTGTTTTAGGAGGCAGTTGACCCTCTTAGGTTCAGTTCTGATCTGTGGGCTATTGTAGTTCGAATATCGGTTCAGTTTCAAGCCTTTGCCATGTAAATCAGAACACTCCTAAGCTTACGCCACCCAGTGACCAGTCTGAAACCTGAGTATTCTGCCTAATAGTTCAGTTCTCAAAGTCATTGGAATACTGTTTAGGGTCAGATCCATGCATGTGAGCCTACGCCTACAAATTCATGTGCAACTTTATGGGATCTATTTCACAAGCTCTCTCCTGTCCAAATTCTGCCCCACACTCTCCACCTTTCAAGACCCCTCATTTTCATGGTCCTTTAGCTAGAAATTGGGACTCCCTGCTCTGTTAACGTAGCTTGCATGGTGGGGTGTACTCTTGGGCCAAGTGACAGGATGAAAAGAGAAAAAAAGGCAACAGAGATTCCCCTCTTATACTTTTCAGATTGCAGATGCTTTGGCCAGATAAAAGAATTCCGCTCTGTAGAGTTTTAGGTGCTTTTCTGGCCAACACTGCTACTGCTACCGAAAAAAAAAAATAATTTTTCTAAAGACAGAGTCTCACTGTGTTGCTGAGGCTCGTCTCAAATCTCTAGCCTCAAGTGATCCTCCTGCCTCAGCCTCCCAAATCCTGGGATTACAGGCATGAGCAACCGCACCCAGCCTTGTTAATATTTCTCTTTTTAGAGTCCTCGGATGCATTCTGTCCAGGGCTTTTAGTTGCAGCCAGTGGGAGAGACACACTATGCTTACCTATCTTACTTAGAACTGGAACCCCAAGAGATTTTTTTTAATTAAAAAAAATTTTTTTTGAGATGGTCTCACTCTGTTGCCCAGGCTAGATACTGTGGTGTGATCACCACTCACTGCAGCCTCAACCTCCCAGGCTCTAGTGATCCTCCCACCGCAGCTTCTTGAGTAGATAGAGCTTAGAGGCACTCACCACCATGCTCCACTAATTATTACTTTTTTAATCTTTTAAAAATTTTTGTAGAGACAGGGTCTCACGATGTTGCCCAGGCTGGTCTCAAATTCCTGGGCTCAAGTAATCCACCTGCCTTGGCTTCCTAAAGTGCTGGAATTATAGGTGTGACCCACCACACCAGGCCAGAATTTTTTTTTTTTTTTTTTTTTTTTTTGAGACAGTGTCATTCTGTCACTCAGGCTGGAGTGCAATAGTGTGATCTTGGCTCATTGCAACCTACACCTCTCGAGTTCAAGCAATTCTTCTGCCTCAGCTTCCTGAATAGCTGGGATTACAGGCACCTGCCACCACACCCAGCTAATTTTTTTTTTTTTTTTTTTTAAGTAGAGATGGGGTTTCACCATGTTGGCCAGGCTGATCTCAACTCCTGATCTCAGGTGATCCACCCACCTTGGCTTTCCAAAGTGTTGGAATTACAGGTGTGAGCCATCTCATTCACAGAAAAAGGAAAACAAGCCAGGTGGGGGGGCTCATGCCTGTAATCCCAACACTTTGAGAGGCCAAGGCAGGCAAAGCACCTGAGGTTGGGAGTTCTAGACCAGCCTGACCAACATGGAGAAACCCGTCTCTACTAAAAATACAAAATTACACATACCTGTAATCCCAGCTACTCGGGAGGCTGAGGCAGGAGAATCACTTGAACCCAGGAGGCGGAGGTTGCAGTGAATCAAGATCATGCCATTGTACTCCAGCCTGGTCAACAGAGTGAAACTCCATCTCAAAAAAAAAAAAAAAAAAAGATAAAGGAAAACAAATATGGTCCAGCCACAGTATCTCCATCCTCCTAACCAAGTCAACATCTTCGTGTGATATATTTCCTTCCTCCTGAATACTTTTTTCATAGTTGAGAAAACGTAATTTTTATTCCTCCTTTTTAAAGTTTTAATTACTTTTTATATTTTTATACAAAATAGAGATAGGGTTTTGCTATGTTGGCCTGGCTGGTCTCGAACTCATGGGCTCAAGTGATCTTTCCTCTTCAGCCTTCCAATGTGCTGGGATTACAGGCATGAGCCACTGGGCCCATCCATTCCTCCTTTTTAAGCCTCTGTTTAAATATTCATAATTGGACATGATGGGACCAGGATTTCATATCCTAATGGGAGAGGTTAAGGTTGAGGACTTTTGAGAGGGTCCACGTCCCTTTCCCAAATAGTTTACTCTGTTCTTTTGGACTCAGAGTAGAGCGGCCTTTTACTCAGGCAACCTAGGAAGAAGGTCATGTTGAGGTTTGAATGCAGTCCTGTAACAGGGGAGAATGAAATGGTCCCATAGCCTAACAGCCGGGCTTGGAACAGGGATTCTAGACCTCTGTTTGATTTCATGAACCTTTAACTTTCTCACTCCAAAAATGAGGAACCACTTTCTGTCCAAAGTCAATTAAATTTGGTTTCAGAAGTTTCTGTGAAGTTTATAATGCCCTGTCAGTTAAACAGGGACATGCTGTTGGCCCTAAGGATTTCTCAGAATGACCTCTGGAGAGATGGTGATCTTATTACAAATCCCAGGGGCAGGTAGCTCTTGACCTTGAAGCACACAGCCCTGCTTTCCTCTCCTGGGATGTTAAATCCAAATGCCCTTAGAGGCCAAGTGCAGTGGCTCATGCCTGTAATCCCATCATTTTGGGTGGCTGAGGCAGGAGGATCACTTGAGCCTGAGGATTTGAGACCAGCCTGTGCAACACAGTGAGACTCCTTTTCTACAAAAAAATTGAAAAAAAAAAAAAAAAGTAGCCCAGCGTGGTGGTGCACACCTGTGGTCCCAGCTACTTGGGAGGCGGAGGTACGAGGATGGCTTGAGCCCAAGGAGGTTGAGGCTATAGTGAGCTATGATGGTACCACTGCAGTGTGTCCTCGGCAACAGAGTGAGACCCTGTTGCCTAGGATGCAGTGCAGTGTTGCCTCAATAAATTAATAAAAATAAGAAAAAAAGAAGTCCTAAGAATCCATTAGCTTCCACCTCTGGATTGCAGCCCAGTATCACCTAAGAAGGACCTTGGGATGAATGCTGACAGGTGTGGATTCTCATCCTGACTCTTCCACTGCTTGGCTTTGACTTCAGGCAGACCCTGGAATATTTTTTCTGAAATTTTGCCTACTCTGTAAAATGGGAATCATAATGCCACCAGGGCCTAAGAAGGCACCCCACAGACCTCTAGTTACAGAAAGAAAAATTGACTATGGGTTCCCAACTGTGGCACTGTGAAATCCATCATCATGTTTATGCTGAAACCAGATTTCCTTCAGGCTCCTTCTAGCTAGTTCCTGGGTACAGAAGGGATACTAGGCTGGCCCATTTCTGGGAGACATACTAGATGTGCCCTTGGCAAAATATTTGTAATTACTTTTCCTGGGGAAAAAAAAAAAAGGATGTTTTATTAACTGAGCTGGGCAATGCCAGCCTGGCTTTTTTTCCTTTTTTTCTTTCTTTTTTTTTTTGAGATAGAATCTCATAGGATCTCACTGTTACCCAGACTAGAGTGCAGTGGCTGCAATTACAGCCCACTACAGCGTCCCACCTCAGCCTCCCAAGTAGCTGGGACTATATGGTTCATCACCACACTCAGCCAATTCGTTTTTTTTTTTTTTTTTTTTTTTAGGTATAGGGTTTTGCCATGTTGTAAAGGGGTCTGGAATTCCTGGGATCAAGCCATCCACCCTCCACCCTCCTCAGCCTCCCAAAGTGCTAGGATTACAGGTGTGAGCCACCATACCTGGCTGCTGGCTTCTTGTGGTAAACGGTCCTACAGCCCTGGGCCAGACACTGCGAAACCCCTGTAACTTCACACCCTGGCTCTGTTCTTCACAGCAGAGTAGGGAGCAGGAAATAGCAGAACCCCAATAATTAGGAGGGTGAAGTCCTAATCCTGTTGCTCCCTCTGCACAAGGTCGTCTTGGTTCTATTCTTTGGGCTTCAGTTTCCTCATTATAGACAATGAGAATTGAAGTAGATCTGTGGTTTTCAAACAGAGTTCCAGAGAAATCTGGCAGAGGTACCTCAGAGGTGAAGGGGTCCCATGCTCTTCCCTATTTCATCTAAAAACAGGGAACTCCTTTCCAGGCGGATGCCAAAGATGGCGGAGGGGCAGGTCCTAGTGCTCGATGGTCAAAGCCATCTCCTGGACTTCCTGACGGCCATCGTGGCTAAGCAGGCCAGAAGGTGGTGGTCGTATGCTGCGGGGATCAACATTTCTGGCAATGTCTATAGAAACAAGTTGAATTACCTCGCCTTCCTCCGCAAGCGGATGAACAGCTACCGTTCCTGAGGCACCTACTACTTCCGGGCTCCCACCGCTTCCGGGCCCCCAGCCACATCTTCCGGTGAACCGTGAGACACGCTTCCCGGCAAGACCAAGGAAGCCGGGTTTCTCAGTACCGCCTCAAGTTGTTTGACGGCATTCCACCCCACTATGACAGAAAAAAGCGGATGGTGGTTCCTCCTGCCCTCAAAGTCGTGCTTCTGAAGCTACAAGAAAGTTTTCCTGCCTGGGGCACCTGGCTCACAAGGTTGGCTGGAAGTACCAGACAGTGACAACCACCCTGGAGGAGAAGAGGAAGGAGGAGGCCAAGATCCACTACCGGAATAAGAGACAGCTCATGAGGCTGTGGAAACTGGCGGAGAAGAACATGGAGAAGAAAACAGACAAATACACAGAGGTCCTTAAGACCCGTGGACTCCTATTCTGAGCCCAAAAAAGACTGTTTATTCCTCAAAAAATAAATAAATAAAAATAAGGAACTCTGCTTTGGCCTGATTGATATTGGGCTCCAGTGTAACAAGGGTTCCCCTCCAAACAAAGTCTAAACGTACAAACAGAAATTCCCAGCCTAGGCAGCAGGTGCAGCTGGAATGCTGGCAGTGCTTAGAGAAGGAGGAAGGTGGCCAGGCATGGTGGGCCATGCCTGTATCCCAAGCACTTTGGGAAGCCGAGGTGGGCAGATTAGGTGAGGTCAGGAGTTCGAGACCAGCCTGGCCAACGCAGTGAAATCCAGTCTCTGCTAAAAATACAAATTAGCCAGGTGTGGTGGTATGCACCTGTTGTCCAAGCTACTCAGAAGGCTGAGGCAGGAGAATCATTTGAACCTAGGAGGCAGAGGTTTTAGTGACCTGAGATCATGCCATTACACTCCAGCCTGGGTGACAGAGCCAGACTCTGTATCAAAAAAAAAAAAAAAAAAAAAAAGGAGGAAGGGGGCATGTGAGGGTTGTGGCAGTCAGATAGGGCAGCAGGAGACCTAGACGCTGAAAGACTTCAGCAGGCATAGAGAACAGGGGTGGCCCCCAATCGCCGAAGCGTTCAGGGCAGTGGGGTAGGCTTGGAAACATCAAAACATCCAGGGCCTCAAATACCAGGCCAGGGAGTCCAGGCCTTGTCCTGTCAGTGGTGGGAAGCACAGAAGCAGCCAGCAGCCCTCACTGAGCAAACATTTAGTAAATTCATGTTGTAGGCCAGGACTGTGCAGTGCTTAGTTAGGGAGGATGCAGAGGTGTGGCTGACAAGACCCCACCCAGAACAGAATGCTCCCAGGCTAATTCCTCATAGGGCTGGCTCCAGGCTATGTCCCCAAATCCTCAAAGGCTCACTCAACAGATATTCACTGATGTGGTAGCTAGCCTCAGAGATGTCCTCAATGATCCCATCTTCCTGGTAATCCTGCCCTTGTGTAGTCAGTGTGGGAAGGGCCCATACTAAATAAACTAGTAACCAGTAAGATACTGGAGAAACGACAGAGTGTAACCTTTGAGATTAGATTTAAAAGGAGTTTGTGGCCAGGCACGGTGTCTCATGCCTGTAATCCCAGAACTTTGGGAGGCTGAGGCAGGCAGATCACCTGAGGTCAGGAGTTTGAGACCAGCCTGGCCAACATGGTGAAACTCTGCCTCTACAAAAATACAAAAAAAAGAGGCCGGGCGCGGTGGCTCAAGCCTGTGGTCCCAGCACTTTGGGAGGCTGAGGCGGGTGGATCACGAGGTCAAGAGATCGAGACCATCCTGGTCAACATGGTGGGACCCCGTCTCTACTAAAACTACAAAAAATTAGCTGGGCATGGTGGCGCATGCCTGTAATCCCAGCTACTCAGGAGCCTGAGGCAGGAGAACTGCCTGAACCCAGGAGGCGGAGGTTGCGGTGAGCCGAGATCGCGCCATTGCACTCCAGCCTGGGTAACAAGAGCGAAACTCTGTCTCAAAAAAAAAAAAAAAAAAAAAAGGACTTTGTGGTTTCTTCCTCTCTTGAATCACTCACTCACTCTGCGGGACACCAACAACCATGTGTTGAGGACACTCAAGGGGGCCTGTGGAGAAGCCCACATGGCAAGGAACTGAGTCTCCTGCCAACAGCCATGTGAATGCCCCATTTTGAATGTAAATCTGAAACTGCCTTTGCAAAAGTGTGACTGAGACAGTGAAAGAGATCTAACTTAATCGACTCCATCTTGCTTCTAACCTCTAAACTGTGTTTGTTCATTCCTGGGCATAGGCTGACCTAACGTTCAGAGAAACTTAGTCTATAGATTAAAATGAAGATGATAACAGCCCTTTCCCAAAACAGACCTCCTTCTTGCCTGGGGACTATATAGCCTTCGTAGGAGTAACCTTAGCCACAAGATTAGAAATTATGGTTTAGGAGTCATGTAGATGGAGGCTGCAATATTCTGACCCTCCCTAAACTGCTCCTAAGATCAGTGCTTGTGATATTTTGCAGACCCTGAACTTGATGGATCAGCCGGTACCACCCAGATTGATAAACTGGCTCATCTGATCTTGTGGCCCCCACCCAGGAACTGACTGGGCACGAGAAGACAGCTTCAATTTCCTGTAATTTCCTCCCTGTACTATGAGCACTCCTGGGTCCCTGGCTTCCTCCTATTCGCCAAGTTGTCCTTAAAAACTCCACTCCCTTGAGTGCATCACAAAAGGGTATAAAATTTTAAATAAATAAATAAATAAATAAATAACTCCACTCCCTGAATGGTCGGGGAGAATGATTTCAGTAATAATAAAACTCTGGTCTGCACAACAGGCTCCATGTGAATTACTCTTTCTCAATTGCAATTCCCCTGTCTTGATAAATCGGCTCTGTCTAGGCAGTGGGCAAGGTGAACCCATTGGGGGTCACAAATCCTCCAGCCCATCTGAGGTTGCAGTGAGCCAAGATTGTGCCACTGCACTTCAGCCTGGCAACAGAGCGAGACTGTCTAAAAAAAAAAAAACAGGCCGAGTACGGTGGCTCATGCCTGTAATCCCAGCACTCTGGGAGGCCAAGGCGGGTGGATCACCTGAGGTCGGGAGTTCAAGACCAGCCTGACCAACATGGTGAAACCTGGTCTTTATTTTATTTATTTTATTTTTTTAAAGATGGGGTTTCACCATGATGGCCAGGCTGGTCTTGAACTCCTGACCTCAGGTGATCCACCCGCCTCAGCCTCACAAAGTGCTAGGGTTACAGGCATGAGCTGCCGCACCTGGCTTGAAACCCCATCTTTAAAAAAAAAAAAAAAAGAAAAGAAAAAGACAAATCCTCTAGCCCAACAAGCTTTCAGATGACTGAAGCTCATGCCAACATATTGACTACAACTTCATGAGAAACTCAACCAGAACCAACCCACTAAGCCACTCCCAAATTCCTGATCCACTGAAACTGTGAGATACTACATATTTGTTGCTCTAAGCCATAAAATTGTTATTCTTTTTTTTTTTTTTTTTTTTTGGGATGGGGTTTCGCTCTTTTTACCCAGGCTGGAGTGCAATGGTGCAACCTCGGCTCACCGCAACCTCTGCCTCCCGGGTTCAGGCAATTCTCCTGCCTCAGCCTCCTGAGTAGCTGGGATTACAGGCACGCGCCACCATGCCCAACTGATTTTTTGTATTTTTAGTAGAGATGGAGTTTCACCATGTTGACCAGGATGGTCTTGATCTGTTGACCTTGTGATCCACCCACCTTGGCCTCCCAAAGTGCTGGGATTACAGGCATGCGCCACAGCGCCCGGCCCTTTTTTCTTTTTTTTTTTTGAGACGGAGTTTCACTCTTGTTACCCAGGCTGGAGTGCAATGGCGCGATCTCGGCTTACCGCAGCCTCCGCCTCCTGGGTTCAGGCAATTCTCCTGCCTCAACCTCCTGAGTAGCTGGGATTACAGGCACGTGCTATTATGCCCAGCTAATGTTTTGTATTTTTAGTAGAGACGGGGTTTCACCATGTTGACCAGGATGGTCTCGATCTCTTGACCTCGTGATCCACCCGCCTCAGCCTCCCAAAGTGCTGGGATTACAGGCTTGAGCCATCGCGCCCGGCAGCATGGGAGTTTTGACCTGCTCCATTTTTGAACTGGGCCAGTTCACCCCGCCTTAGGCAACCTGGTGGTCTCCCACTCCCAGGAGGTCACCATATTGATGCCGAACTTAGTGCAGACACCCGATCAGCATAGCGCACTACAGCCCAGAACTCCTGGGCTCAAGTGATCCTCCCACCTCAGCCTCCCGAGTAGCTGGGACTACAGGCATGCGCCACCATGCCCAGCTTGTTATTCTAAATCAATACAACTGATGCCACTCTGCCTCAGTGCTGTCCCCACTGTCATGTAGTTATCTACACTACAACAGCAGGTCTTCCCTAGTCTCCCGCTTCCCGTCTTGAGCCCCTCCAATTTTTTCTCTACATAGGGTCCAGACTAAATTGAAGGTCTACGTATCAAGAAATGTTTATTTTGGGCAGGGGCAGTGGCTCACGCCTATAATTCCAGCACTTTGGGAGGCCAAGGTGGGTGGATCACTTGAGGCCAGGAGTTCAAGACTAGCCTGAAACTTCATCTCTACAAAAAAAAAAAAAAAAAAATACAAAAGTTAGTCAGGTGAGGTGGTATCGTAAGCCTGTAATCCAGCTACTGAGGAGGCTGAGGCAGAAAAATCACTTGAACCCCAGAGGCCGAAGTTGCAGTGAGCCAAGATCGTGCCACTGCACTCTAGCCTGGGCGACAGAGCAAGACTCTGTCTCAAGAAAAAAAAGTAAATAAATGTTTATTTAAGATCATGGCTCAAAACCTCTCATGGTCCTCCATTAAGTGGCCCTCAGAGAAGTATTTTGTGCTACTTCCAGAAAGTTATTTAGTGCAGTGGTGGAGGACCTGACATCCTTGAGCCAGTTTGAGGGCAAAGTAGCATGAAGGAGCTACTCCTTCCGGGGGGCCGGGGCAAACCAGGATCATGAAGAGTCCTTGTTTGGCAGGAGCCCCTGGAATGACAATCTGAGAGCCACTAGGGGAGGGTAGAGGAGGCACCAGGCAACTGGGCCTGAGACAGGCCTTTGTTTAGAAGTCCACAATGGCAGGATGCCCAGCACAGACCCAGCTTCCCAGGGTTTCCCCGAAGCAGGACAAGGGAGCTGGAGACTCAGCATCCACGATGCCCTGCTGGGGTGGCAGGAGCCTGCCTGGGGGACTCTCACTGTGCCCTAGCAGGCTGTGAGGAGGAAGTGGAAGCATCTGTGATAAGACTGCGGTCTTCCCAGGCCTTTTTCCATTATAGCTCCAGAAGCTGGTGGGGGGTTAGGTTCCACTGCAGCCCCCACTCAATGCACAGAGGCACGGGTGGGAAGGACCTTGTGCAAGGTCACACAGCTCAGAGGTGCTGAAGCCAGGCTTCAAGCACAAGTCTGACTCCAGAGCCCCTGGTTTTTTGTTTTTGTTTTTGTTTTTGTTTTTTTGAGACGGAGTCTCATTCTGTCACCCAGGGTGGAGTGCAGTGGTGTGATCTCAGCTCGCAGAATCCTCTGCCTCCTGGGCTCAAGCAAGTAGCTGGGATTATAGGTGCCCACCACCATGCCCAGCTAATTTTTGTATCTTTAGTAAAAAAGACAGGATTTCACCATGTTGGCCAGGCTGGTCTTGAACTCCTGACTTCAAGTAATCCACCTGCCTCAGCCTCCCAAAGTGCTGGATTACAGGCATAAGCCACTGCACCTGGCCTTTTTTTTTTTTTTTTTTTTTTTTTTTTTAAGAGATGGGGTCTTGCTCTGTTGCCCAGGTTGAAGTGCAGTGGTGCAATCATAGCTCATGGCAGCCTCAAACTCCCAGGATCGAGCAATCCTCCTGCCTCAGCCTCCTGCGTAGCTTCAACTACAGGTGCACCCATCATACTCCGCTGTCCCTGTTTTTGACTAATATTCTCTCCTGCCCATTCCATGCCATATGCTGTGCCAGTGCTTGGGAGAGAGCAGCGCGAGCCCTCCTGGAGACCATTCCAGTGGAGAAGAGAGACAAGAATCCAGCCCTGATGGTGGGATGTGATCTGGGCCCTGCCTGGAAAGTGGGGTGAGCTTCGGCTGGAGCTTCAAACTCAGCCTGGCATGGATTGGGGTCTTGTGGGGCAGCAGAGCTTCCTAAAGGAGGTAACACCTGTTTTCCTAAAAAGAAGGGTTCCCAGCAGGGACTGGATGCAGAGAATTGAGGCTCAAACAGGTGAAGAGACTTGCCTGAGGCAGCAGAACTATTGAGAGGCAGAGCCTGGAGGGACAATGAGCTTTCAGTGAGACCCTCCCTCCCCACTGTGTTATCTCGATGTCCTTTCCTCCCAAGGACACCATCACATCTAAGTAGGAGGGGCCAGGACTCAAACCTGAGCTTTTGTTTGTTTTGTTCTTGAGAAAGAGTCTCAATCTGTCCCCAGGCTGGAGTGCAATGGCAGGATCACGGCTCACTGAAACCTCCGCCTCCTAAGTTCAAAGGATTCTTTGAACCTGGGAGGCTGCTCCCTCTGAGCAGCTGGAATTACAGGTACATGCCACCATACCTGGCTAATTTTTGTATTTGTAGTAGAGACAGGGTTTCGCCATGTTGGCCAGGCTGGTCTCAAACTCCTGACTTCAGGTGATCCGCCTGCCTCGGACTCCTAAAGTTCTGGGATTACAGGCGTGAGCCACCACGTCCCGCCAAACCCAAGCTCTTTGACTCCCAATCCAGTGCTCTCTGTGTCCACTGCTGGGTGGGGTGATAGGGATGGCTTTGGCTGTGACCTTGGAGGAATCACCTCAATGTCTGGTCCCGAATCTGTTGACAAATCAGCTCCAAGGTCATACATAAACCCAGTTACCTGTCCCCACAGCCACCAGGGGCAGGCTTTGATCTGATGTGAGGCTCACTCATTAGCCAAGCATCCCACAAGGCTTAGAAGGACAGTGGGGCAGGGAGGTCCCTGCTATGCCAGTGGGGGCCCGTTGGATGGGAAAAGGTCCCGAGTCACCAAGGAGGCTCTGACCACAGCCATCCATCACTCCGTCCTGCCTGGCAAAGCCTGAGAGTGGAAGCCAGAGGTACCCAAGCTGCTCAGGGACTGGGCTGGGCCAGCGGCATCTCTGAGTCACAGGGAGAGTGGGTGGCGGGTGACTCAGCCCTGGCCCACTTCCCCTTCCATAAGGCCAGCCTGGGTGGAGGCTGGGGCCAGGAAATCCCATGCCGGTCCTCCAAGGCCTTCCCTGCCCACCTCCCACCCCGCCATGGGCTGGCCCTTTACTCAGCCCTGCCTACCACTGTCTGGCACTATGTGATGAATTCTGGTTACTGAATCTGAATGATTCCTCCCTGAACTTCAGTCTCCCTAGACCTCAGCCCCAGCCTGGTCTAGCTCCCAGTCCTCACACAAACGAGAGACATTTGCACCTGGTTTCCAGAAAGGTTGGGTGACTACCCCATGACAAAAGCAGAGCCAGCTGGCGCCATCACCTCCTTCCTCACTCCTGGGCCTGCCCGGCGCTCCTCATTCAAATCCTCTCTGTAGGGATCATCAGTTCCATTTTGCAGATCTGGAAGCTGAGGCCCAGTGAGGGGAGGCTCCCAGTCAGGTGGGCAGAGCAGGATTAGGTTCCAGGTGTCCTTACTCCAGCCTGGGCCCTTATCATCTGTAACAGGTGGTCTCCAGGAGAGGCAGCTGGGTGGGGAGAGTTAAGTGTTACAGGAGCCAAGGAAAGGGTCAGAGACGTAAATAACGAAGCTGAGGCTGGCCAGCGGGTCAGGGAGCTCTGGGGGTTGGGACTCCTGTCTTAGGCTCCCTATGTGGGAGCCCCGCTCCCCTGCACCTCTGCAAGCCTCCTGAGCACGGTCCCTTGTCAAGACCCTCATCAGCCCTTCCTTCTTTTGTTGTTGTTTTTTTTTTTTCAAAGAGAGAGGGTCTTGCTCTCTCACCCAGGCTGGAGATCGCAATGCGCTGCAGCCTCCAACTCCCGGGCTCACATGTTTGGAGTTCTCTTTTTAAAAAGAGTTGCATGTTTGGGTTTTTTTCCTTCAGGCAAAGGTTTAAGCTGTGAGAGGGGAGGAG